AAATTAGGGACGGCTAGCGCAGATAGCCCTCGTGTAGCTTTGCGCGAAATTCAAAACAAACAACAACAAACTATTATGTCTCGTGTTGTCCTAAGCTCCTACAACGTTGTCATCAAGGGTCTTGTGTAGTTCTGAGACATTTATTCATATTTCTTGCACACGTTTATCAAGTACATAATATATGCATTCAACGAAGTACGGCAATCTACACAAAAGGAACACCGTGAAATTCAAATTCTTGGCATTACACGTTTAGCGAACTTTAAAATTTCAGCCCAGTCTGCAAGCTTTCAACTCAGTCGATCAGTTAATAAAAGGAGCGAATTTCTCCAAGATTTAAGCTTAGGTAATGCGAAGCCACTTCCTATTTAAAAACAACTATAACATGATATCATCTAGAAAATTTACATCATAATAATAATTTTGTGTCACAAAAGTCGAGCAATCTCAAACCAGATACTTTTGAGTGTGTGTGTGTGTTTATACGTATGTAATTCTTAATCCAGCAAGATAACTACTTTCTGAATAAAATTATGCACGATGATATATCAGTTTTACTATATATTATGAGTGGTACCACTTACAGCTATGTTCTTTTTCCAAGGCATAACAAACCTTGCAGTTCTTTGTTCGGACGTTAACATGTATTAAACAATTCGCTGTTCCCTGGTAGTTATTAAGTACACATCAAATCTTTCAATTACTTGCCTAATCGTTAAAATGCATATTATAACTTCTAATCTTTATTTAGTGATTAAAACGCGAATATGAATTTCAGTTCCTAGTTTAGTGTTTAGTCGTCGACATAGAGAGGTTTTAAAGTACAAACTGAAATGGTCGAATAGGAGACGTGATTCTTCATTGATAGTCTACCACTTCCCTATGTAGTTTATCTTGTATTTTGTTTGGATTCACCTAGTGTCCACCATTTAACTACGCAATATGTACTTTAAAACACCTTATTTTGTCTGGAGTCACTTGCTAGTTATGTTTATTGAGCAACAGTTTAAAGGCTTTAAGACAAGTAGAGATCAACTACTCTTTCTTTTTCTTTTCTCTTTTTACAGATCAAAATTACGTAAAAAGTTTAACTATTCTTATACATCTGTGCGTTTAATCATCACAAACATTTTAAAAATAAACTACTGTTATTGGTAGGCTTTGCGACCTTCATCGACTTGAACCCTTCAAGCTCTCTCTTTCATTACGCTTCGAAAGGACTTGTTGGAGGGAATTTTATGTTCTTTCGGTGAATAATTCCTTCAAGGCTATCAAAGAAAAGCATCCTGTATTCTCCTTTATACGCCCATGACTCGACGCACTTTACCATATTCTCCAGGCATTTCATTTTGTTCTTGTTTTCCACCTTGAGAGTAGCGTAGGTCGAACACGAAACTTACTGAGCCAGATAAGTACAAAGAAGAGCCAACTTTTCAACTTGAAAGCCTTGAAATAACAATATAATCATAATCCTGTACTGTTACCACAGAGTAGCCTTGAACCTTTCAGTTTGGAGAAACTGTCAAGAAATAACGAAATAATAACGGAAAAGTATATACAAGGTCGTTAAAATTTCCTTTCTTGTATATTGAGCTTTCTGGTGGTAGCAGTTTACATCTTGTATATTTAGCTTTCACATGGCTAATAACTTCCATTTTATATATTGAGTTTTCCCATGGTTAGGATCTTCCATCTTATATATTGAGTTTTCACGTGGTTAGTATCTTCCATCTTATATATTGAGTTTTCACATGGTTAGGATTTTCCATTTTATATATTGAGTTTTCACATGGTTAGGATCTTCCTTCTTATATATTGAGTTTTCACATGGTTAGAATCTTCCATCTTGTATATTGAGTTTCTTCATGATATATTTTATAAATTTATTTTATTTTGTTGAACAGTTAACAAACATCCGTTACACTTTAGTAAGCAGTTTTATTGACATTTAAGTTTTTATTATTGCTCGGAGATTTATGAATAGAAAATAAATGTATGATTTGAGAACAAATTGAAAATAATAATTTTTTATACTAATAATATTCCCTTACCTAAATTACAATATTGTTCAGTTATTCGGTGATCAAGACAACTTTCATTGGGAGGTTCAAACGAGAATACATACATGTACATTATGCTAGTCATATATGTGTATTTGTTAACATAAGTGGTCACTACAGTTCACGGGCTAAATGGCCAGGTAAAAGATTCCAAGGTTCAGGCATAGCCATCCTTAATTTTTGAGCTGCTGACTAGAGGGAGGGCAACCAGTCAGCAGCACGCGCCTCCTACGCAGCTGCTCTTAACCGAATAGCGAGATAGAATATTAAACAACAAAATGCTCCCACTGCTCGAACCTTGGACCTTTTGATACGTAGACTGTTATGCTCGGCCTCGGAATTCAGTAATTTTAGTTTGTATTCTGTTAGCCTGGCCCGGCATGGCCAGGTGGTTAGGGAGCTCGACTCGCAATCTGCGGGTCGCGGGTTCGAATCCCCGTCACACCAAACATGCTCGCCCTTTCAGCCATGGGGGCGTTATAATGTGACGGTCAATCCCACTATTCGTT